AGTATAAGCTTTGGCAGAAGACAGCTGGAGTCTGGAACAGACGGCTTCAAAACAACTGCAGCAGGTTAATCTTGGCTGTTCGTTGGGCCTTCTGCAGCTCGGTTGGACAAGAAATGGTTGCTTCGTCTTCCTTTCTTGAGGCATTCGCAACACATACCCAAACCACTGCAGCTGTGGATATATATAGTATACCATATGATATAATATATAATATGAAATAACACGTCTGCTAAAAGGGTCTCAAGATCACGTTAGAACCAAAGGAAACGTAGACGATATGTAAATCCTGAGAAGCAACATGTATATGTTATGATGCTCCTTTTAACAGAGGTCTGCTATTCGAGTCGGGTTTAGTGATTTTCGGTCACTCGTTGCATATTCATATCGCTATTTACGACCGCGCCACTTTTGCTTGACCATCGCCTTTTTCTCTTATTTAGCAATGTCTGTGTTTGGGCCACATTTCTAACGTACTCGTCGGATCTTCAACTGTCACGTGGCAGAGCCAACGAAGAGTGCTTTCGATCAGCCATGCTGTAACTTGTGCAACACTTAAATAGCTCTTGTGAGGGTATTGGGGAAATGGTATTTTTTGTTGACATAAAACCTCAATCTGAGCATTCGTATTTCTACGGATTTCAGCCATTTTTTCCGTACAGAACCTGTCTTACTATCGTTTACGTCACCTTGCTCATGTTAAACTCATGTTTAACGGACATGTGCAACCTGATGCAGAAAGCTACTATGCTATAACTAAATTTCAGTAGTAGAAGTAGCAGTTTAGTACAGAAGTACCACAAAATGTTTATATACAGAAGTACCTATGATATGATTATTTTTTGCATGTTAGTTTTCACACTGCTAATAATGCTGACAACAGGAACGGTTCATTATTTAAATAATTCATCAAATCTTCCAGAATTATGGCGAACGAGACTGCAAACGGTAGAGAGCTAGATCGTAAATCAATTTTTCTTTCGTTTCCATGACACACACGGCACATAAAGCATAAGTATAAAGTGCTACGGTTAAAACACCATTTTTAAAAAAAAGTCCACTATTGAGGCGAACCAAGTGATAAAGGCATATTTTAGACTACTTGCCAGCTGAAACTACACTGCCATCCATCTAACAGTCACCATATGATGGAATTGATCAAGAAGTCATTACAGCATATTGTTTCTGTCACCCTCCGACATGGCGACACTCACCTACTAACTCAGAAGGATGAAAGGCGACTGAATAGGGAAGAATTTCAACTACTTTTCGATTGTGGGTTCGATGCTCGAACGACTGAGCTACCCTCTCCTGATCGAGTCTAAGAAACAAATCAATTATAACACTAGACTCCAACGACAATCACAGTCCATTGTAAGATCGACAGGAACCGGAACTTGCAAGCTCAAACATGAGCTATAAGCTTATGAACGCTGAAGACAAACTGTATAAAGTATTGCTGACTGTTTTTCGGTTCTAACAGCGACATCAACAGCTGACGAACCGGTAATATGAATATTACAAAGCTAATGCCACTGTTTGTATTTATCTTACTTTGATCAAACATATAACGTTGTTCTACGCTGCTCTGTTTAAGCAGTCCGTACAATAAATTAATTAAATATACAGATATAATAATACCACAATAACACAACACAAAGGCATTACCATAATAATACATAAATAACCGTTAATTAATTTCTTAGAGTTGATTCGGACAACCAACAGCTCAAACAATGATTTTAAGCCTCTAAACCCCTTCCAGCGATCTTCCTGCAGATAAGCAGATATTTCATATCAGTCACCAACTGTT